AATTCGGTTTCCAAAATATTTTTTTTTTTGTTGTTTTTTCACATTTAAATATATATAAAATGTCAACAAATACGAAATACACAAAACGAATTGTCAGAAAATTGTCGGTACGAGCAATTTTTTTTTCATTTCTATACCCCTTGCCCCTCTCTCCTACAAACAAAGACTTGCCGCAAGTAAACTCGCCTAATCTAAATCAAGACTCATATGGTAGGCCCTTGAAAAGTTTTCTTAAAATAAGTCACGCCTGTGAACAAATATTCTTTAAATAATCGACGCCTGTGAACAAATATTGTTTAAAAAATCCACTCTATGATAGGCCTTGAAAAAAATCCACACTTCTGGTTGTCCTTGAAAAAAATTTAATATATACGCTTCTGGCAATCCTTGAAACATATTCTTTAAAAATCCACGCTTTTGATAGTCTTTATTCTCAAAAAAGCAATTCGATTTGCTTTAATTTTATTTCCACAAAACACATTCCATGTAAATGTAGCAAACTAGTCAACTGCTGTTTGTTTACATTTGTTTGTAAGTTTGAAAAGCATTGCTTTACCGTTTCGTTGACGTTATCTTTTACTCACTTTGAAAAGCTTTGCTTTACAGTTTGAAAAGAGCACGTAGCTCTTTGCAAAAAATAAAACAAATGACAATTGTTTTTGTTGTCTTGAGATAAATTCATATGTGAAGTGAAGTTCATTGAATTATTTTGCGGTGAAAAGAACGTCGATTTTTGTGCAAAAAAATCATTAACAGTGGACATTAATTGGAAAATATGTAATTACTACAATTGGATAAAAGAAAACTCAAGCAAAATTTAATTAAAATAAAAAAGTGAGTTGGCAGATGATGGAATATTTGGGGCTGAGCTAATAACAAATCTGGAAATCTGTTGACATACATATAAATACGTAAAGGATTAAAAATAAACTGCAGTAGAAAATATTTCTTCTTACTAAAAAATTATTATTTATATTTATAATATATGTATGTATTATTTTAAGATATTGGCAAACCAAATGGTGTTCGTTGAGATAAGTTTTGCTCTGCATTTTTGCGGAAAGGTTCATTAACATTGCACTTTTGTATATATGTGCGGATGAATGTTGATCCGTATATGGCCTTCTCGTTGAAGGTTAGACGACAACACTCAATCGTCGAGGTACACATGAACGAAGAAAAAATGAAAGGAGTCAACATTCCATATAAAGAACGTCGTTTGTTTGTATGCATTTTTTTTAAATTATTTGTATATATTTTATATATAAATATCTGACATTTAATAGATGATGTAGGGGTATCATGTTAAGGAATGTGAGCGATATGACTGTTTCTTTTCCATATATCAGGAGAGAAATGTATATTTCTGAATTTGTATCAGTAAAATATTTCTGCTGGATACCCCATACCATTTATGGACTTAAAACGGTGGCCACACTATCAAATAGGCAATCATTGGGTCAAGGGTGACATTCGAAATCATTCCGCTTTAAGGGTAACTAATTGAACGCCAATCTTAAAAGGAGGATATTTTTTTTTTTTTAATTATGCCAATTAGGTATAGTTATATTTTTTTCATTATAAATATTTTTCAAAATTATAATTAACTAACCACCATATAATTTTTTATCAAAAACGATTTAGGTTATTTCCTCTGCTAGCCAAGAAGTTACAATTAAAATTGTGGGAGCTCTAAGCTAGTAAATGGGTTAATGTCGTGCTGACCAGTACTTTAGTGAAATTCAGGGGAATCATATAATAATAAAGTTGCATTATACGTAGGAATTTTATATCGCTGTGATGACGATAAGAAATTTTCCAAACTAGAACAACTATTTTGCAGCACACATTAAAAGCGAGGACAAGGGACCTTATAATATTTCTTCTATGGACAAATGATTCAATAAAAAGGATAAATAGGATAGGCAAGCCTTGGATGCCTGGAATAAAATACATTATCCTCGTAGAAACCCCTTCTCTGGATAGTATAAGGATTTATATAGAAAGACGCCGAATCTCCTAAAGACTTTCAAGGCGTTTCAATTAAAAAACCAAACCTTCAAATAGAAAACTTTTAATTAAAGAAAGTTTTGATGGCGTAGCCGAATTCGCAACCAGTCTATAAGAAAATGTATTAAATCACCGCTCGAAGGCAGGATATTTTTGTTAAAAATATATTTTATATTGTGAAGTCGAATTTTTCACTTGTCTAATGTGGCAATCCCCGGCCGTAAGCTGCTAATTTGAAGATCAGGGAACCAGACATACCTCGGCTAAATTACAAAAAAATCGATATGAGCCGCATATTTCAATTTATTCCTATGTTTCTTCGATCTGAGGAAACCAAAACCAAATAATACCCGCTTTTGGTAATCCTTGAAAAAATCTTTCTTTTAAAAATCGTGCTCCTGTTAGTACTTGAAAACATCTTGTTTAAAAAATTCACGCTTCTGGTAGTTCTTTAAAAAATCCATGCTTCTTGTAGTCCCTGATAAATTCTTATATGGGAGCTATGCCTAAACGTGGACCGTTTACCGATGGAGAATTTATTCCGTTCACGAATTATTGGGTTTAAACTACGACAGTCCTTTTGCAATTCGTTTACCACTGCTACTTACGATGGAATGAAAAGTAGGAACAAGGTCTTCGTGTTACTGGCTTATAGCAATTGGGTCGCCGACAAAGAGACCTTGTTGATCTCATATAAATCAAAACGCCGATCAGTGTAAAATATCCTTCGCCAAACCCACAGCCACATTGCTCGCAACTTGGGCGGCTAAAATTAAGCTCCCACTGAACAGAATGGTCGATGGAGAACTGATCAATTACCCCAATATATTGGTTGTAACATTCAACAGCCAGAGAAGTAGAAAAAGGATCCTAAAATCACTGGCCGGTAGCAGTCTTTGTCTTTGTTAATCTATTATGAAACAATAGACCGGTCAGTGTGCTTTACCAATGTAAGTAATATACAGTGGGGGAATATTAAGAGCTGTCTAAATGTCCATCTGAGAACTGAAACAGGGAGCATTTCTCCTCATGACACTAGTTGACCATTTTTACAAGAAGTAAAGGATTATACCCATCGGCACAACCAAATGTTGTCGATGAAGTAGCTATTTGGGTGTTATCGTAGGGAACATCACTGGCATAGTCTTATATTCGTGCTTCCCATCAGGAGAGATTTTCATGATCTAGAGAAAGAAGTCCATCAGGGCTATCAAGCAGGCTTGAATGGGATTCATACAGAATCAGTTGCTATATCCCTGCTATATATCTTTCCCTGCTATATCCACTCACAAGGACCATATTTTTAAGTTGTGGATTATTTAAAGAATAGTTTTCCAAGGTCCGCCTAGGCGCGGATTTTTTAAAGAATACTTCTCCAAGGTCCAACTAGGCATCGATTTTTGAAAGAATAGTTTCGTAGACGTGAATTTGATTTATTGACGATAACTTAGAGTGAATATTTTAAATAAAAATTCAAGTGCGGAAGGACCACAGGAGTATAGATTTTTTAGTCTATTTTTTCAAGGACTATAATCATTGACATATTTTAATATGTCGTTGAATGTAATAAAAAATAATAATTGTGAGCATATGGCTAAACTGCTGACGCCTTTTTCTTGTTCCTACACACAACATTGTCGTCATAAAACCAGTGATGACAGTCCAGTGTCATACTGGCATTACTGGCATGCGATATGGACATTAAACAATAATTTTAAAATTAAACAAATATCGCATTTTTCCTGAAACAAAGTGAAATATATAACACAGGTGTTGTGCTATGTGTGTGTGAGCAATGGGTAATTCCAAAGGCAGTACTGGCTATTACTACTTACCCACTACCCCGCCATATTAATATGACGCCTGTTTTAAAATTTATAGACAAGGACATTAACGTCACTAGAAATGACATATGTATGTAGGCGTCCTATAATAACGTCCTATCGATAACAAATTATTAATTTTCAATTTGAAAGTTAAAAAATCCAGACTGGGTGAATGGAAAAAAATTATCAAATGGTCATTTGAAAAATCAGTCAGAAAATAAAAAAAAAAACCCACGCCTATGTTGGACCCTTGAAAAAACCCACGCCTATGTTGGTTAAAATAGGCCTTGAAAAAATATTCTTTAAAAAACCCACGCCTTAGGTGGACCCTTAAAAAAATATTCTTTAAAAAATCTACTCTTTATCAAAAAAAAAAAAATAACAAAAATTGAACTTCAAAATTTAAAACTGGCTACGTGCCGAACTAATCTCAACAAAAACCACGTTCCTTTTTTAGTTCTAATTTTTTTTCCTCCACATCATATAGTCTAGTCAGTCATTCCGCAGCAGCTAACGTGCAACAACCTTGTTATTAATACAAATGACCATTTAACGCAATGTTTGAATGACTACATAAAAAAGTGTCAGAATTCATTGTTACAAATCTACCAGCACCAGCTAATCTTCTAAAGCCAATGGACTTGTGGCGAAAATACAAACAATACTGCGAAGAATAAAAAAGTGAATTAGCGCATAGCCAAAAAAAAAGTAAAGTAAAACAACAAAAGCCAAATAGCAACAGAAAAATACAACAAAATATTCCGGCAAACTACAACCGGCAAAATCTTCAGAAGGGGGAAAACAACAAACAAACCACCAACCGACTGAACAGAGGAAAACCAAAGTAAGGCCCAGTCAGCCAATCTAGTGCTTTGCCACAACTTTGCATTTTAGTCATTTGAGAAACGTTCAACGAAAGAGGAAACAAAAAACGAAACGAAAAACTGAAAACAATTGCGTTATTCGTGTGAATTTTTTTTCTTTTGAAAACTTGTTGTGAAAATATTTTTCTGAAAAATCCAAGTGGAAACAAAAACCAATATATAATTTTTTCCTGACAAATACAACAATTAGTATTGTTTTTGCTGTCTGTTCAAATCCAAGCAACACCATCACCTCCACCCACCACAACAACAATCGTCCATAACTGAGAAGTTATCGCAAAAAAGAAATCCAACCAAATGCCCTACATAATCATACGTGGTAATTTAGCCTCCTATAGCCATAAATATCCATGGCGTGTTCTAGTATCAGGATTAAAAGGTAAATCAAATCGAATTTAAATAAGTGACATATAATAACACACAAATAATACCACTTAGTTAGCAATTTTGTTTCGTTAATTTTTCCGAATATTTTATTTAAATTGGGCACTATTTTTGTTAAAATGAAAATTATTTTTGGCCTAGCAAATTTTTTGATTTGATTTCACTTTTTGCACGTTCCTTCCACCTTACGCTCATGTTTTGATAATGAAATATATTTTTAATGTGCTAAAGATCGATACATTTTTTGGAACACCGAGAAAAACTTTTTTGAAACACAACAAATTTTTCAATTCTCATAAAAATAATTAAAAAATGAGACGATTCTACTTGAAAAAATACATTAAAATAATAATATTTCAAAAATCTTACATAAATTTTTCCATGAAAATTGTTTAAATGTATTAAAAAAAAAATATTTTTTATGTGAAAAGAGCATGAATTTTAAAACAGATACGAAGAACTATGCCCAAATATACCGAAATGTAATAGATCAAGATCAAAATAGAAATAAAATGTATGGTCTGTTCCAGAACCTGCAAGAATGTACAATTTTTTACTACGATAACAATTTTTCCTTTATGTTATCGGAAAAAAGAGTAAAAATTAGTAGATTCTTGCTGTACGGGAACAGACCAGTATTTAGATGACACTTGTGGGGAAATGAAGGTGTTACGAATAGAATACAGTTTGTGAATAAAAATGTAATTATTATTTGTTACATTATTGTATCAAAATTGTTAATTTTTCAATCAAGGGTAAAATATATTTTTATACCCTCCACCATAGTATGGGGGGTATATTAATTTTTTTTCCGCTTGTTTTGTTGTTCCGACCCTATAAAGTGTATATATTCTTGATTAGCCTACAATTTAATGACGATTTAGCCATGTCCGTCTGTCTCTCTGTTGTAATCACTCTAGCGTCTAAATGAATTGAGATAGATCGCCAAAATTTGCATATAGTTGTCTTTTGTCTGCAGGCACAGAAATTTACGATATTTCGGGGGATTTAAGCGCGTTTTTCAACCGAATTCGCTGAAATTTGGTACAATTTGTTCTTATTGGGTACCAAATTTGTCAACTAAAAATTATAAATGTAAATCTTTTTTTCGGCTAGCCCCTGTATAAGGGTACCCCCAATTTTCGGTATTTTGGAGTTTTTAACCTCTTTTTTCAAACGGATTCGCTGTAGTTTGGTATTTTATAGTCGTATATGGTAACAAATCTACCTACCAAAGATTATTAATATTCGCCCCCTTTTTGAAGTAGTTCCCATATAACCCCCTTTTTTATATTGAAATAGTTATCTTAATTATTCCCGTTTTCGGTTTGGTTCTAAAACTTCTTTGTAATCTTGAACGTAAGATACGATAATGAAATATATATATGATATATAGCCCGCATTAGGCCTATCCCCCATATAATGATACCTACCGATTTTCGGTATTTTTAATATTTAGCGTAAAGAAATGTATTCTGATGCAAAAATGTTAGTTTCAATATAGAGATATCTCAGTCCTCAATTAGGCATAGCACCTCATATAATGATAACTACGAATGTTCTGTAATTCCTACACGATGTAATTAACACTGGTTCCGTTTAAGGTATAGCCTCCAGGGACGTCTCATACATTGGATACTTATATTGAAATATATATATTTTGACCATTTGTGGGGGAGGTACCAGAAGGAGTGGACCAATGGGTCCCATCTTCGGACTTAATATAGACTTCGTAAGGCTAATGGGCTGTGTAAAGTTTTTTTCAAAACCGGACATTCCATTCGCCTGATATTGGATTTATAAATATTGAAAATTTTGATCCTCTGTGGGGAGGTACCAGAAGGAGTGGACCAATGGAAAGGAGTGGACTATTTTCCTAATTAATTTAGGTTTGGTCAATATAATAGGTTGTACAAAGTTTCGTTAAAATCGGATAGTCCGTTTGCATGTTATTATAAAATTATTTTTAGAATAATTTTGACCATTTTGTGGGGGAGGTACAAGAAGGAGTGGAGTTAAACTAAGTTTGGAAGAAATATTAAGATGCGCTAAGTTATCGTGCGCACCAACCAGACAGACGGACAACGGACGGACTGACATTTGTAAATCGACTCCAAATTTTCTGAAACGGATTTGGTCGAAAGAAACATGGGGTCTAAAAAAAACAATATTTCGATGAGGCATATTTTCACCGTATCAAAGTGTAAAAAAATCCTTGAGAGGATTTTTTAAGTTATCCTTGAAAAAAATATTTTACTATATTCCTCAAATCAATTCCTTTTTGAAAAATTTTTTTCTTTAAAACAATACTTTAAATCCCTTCTCATAAAACCAAGAGAAATGTTAATCCTCTGGCCGAATCATCTTGATAGAATATTATTTAAAAATTGTTTTCCAAAAACGGATTTTTAAATAATCCTCAACTTCTTATGCTTTAAAAATGAGCCGATTTCTTATAATAATTGAAAAAAAAAATTTTTTTCAAAAAAATCCTCAAATCAAATATTTTTTTTGAAAAAAAAATATTTTATCAATCCTCGATGGTACTTGGAAAACAATATTGTATTAATAACCGCTTATAACTCGATGACCCTGGAAAGAAATTGTTTAAAAAATCCACGGTTATAGCTCAGATGGTCCTTGAAAAAAAATAATTTTTATAAATTCAAGCTTATAGCTTAAACGGTTCTTTCAAAAATCTACGCTAATATGGTATGTGAAAAAAAATATTTCAAAAAGTGTTGGCGGTTTATTTGGGATACCATTTGTATTTTGTTTTTGCAAAATAGTCAGGCTGAATCCCAGTTTGTTGTTTTTATAAAAAACAACTATTTATTAGTGGGGAATGTATGGCATTGTTTGCTGAGAGGTAAGGCAGGGAAGACTATAGTTTCGGATCACGCCACTGATCCTCATCAGTTCCCTTAGTTTTTTGTTGGGATATTCTCCCCAGAAGCTATTGCTTCTATACAAAAAACCGTTCATACCCAAATGTCTCTTGTAACAAAGCGAAGTACTTAGCTGACCAGCGACATAAACTGTATGAGAATTTCCCTGGAGGCTCACTTCGAGGTTAACAAGTCATTTACAAACAATTCCATACCTTTCCCACTGTTGTGTGTTGTCACATCGCGACAAATGCACACAACGATTTTGTGGGTGTTGCTAGTATACAGCAACAAACCAAACAGTTTAACCGTACCTGCGTCTACAACTTCAGTAGTGTTGGCGGTTTATTTGGGATACCATTTGTATTTTGTTTTTGCAAAATAGTCAGGCTGAATCCCAGTTTGTTGTTTTTATAAAAAACAACTATTTATTAGTATTTCAAAAATCTAAGGCAAGTTCGGCTAATTTTCTTTTTTTAATTCCACATATTGAAAAAAATCTTTAACAAATTTACGCTTGTTGCGGTCTCCGAAAAAATATTATTTACTAAATCCACGCCTGTAATGGTTCCTAAAAACAACGTCCAAGCTCCATTGCGCTTGAATAAATATTTCTTAAAAATGAACGTCTTCAGAGTTTTTGAATGTTAATTAATTCTACGTCTGTAACTGACCTTGCCTTTTTGTAATTTCAATACAAAACAAATATTTTTTTTAAATCCCGCATCTGTAATGGCGCTTGAAATAAAATCTAAAACAAATGCACGCTTTATTAAAAAAATATTTCTTCAAGGACCGACCCCTACAGGCGTGGATTTTTTAATGATGATTGCAGATATAGAATTTTGTTTCACGGTCCACGAAAAAATATTCTTTAAAATCCACGCCTGTAATAATAATTAACAAAATTCCACGTCTATAATAGTCCTTGAAGAACTATTTTTTTTAATCCAAGTCTGTGTTAATTTATTCATTGAAAATTCATAATCTCCCCCTATTCCTTAAAAACATTCTTTAAAAATCCCCATCGGAGCACTCTTTTTCATTTTCAGTACTACTATTAAACAACAAATATTACAAAATCTCTAAACTACTGGTATTCATTTCAAAATTGGATTTATGAAGGAAAACCACAAATCGAATTTGCAAACATTGAGAAAATTTTCCTTTGTCAATTAAAAATGTAAATATTTGTAAAAAAAATGAAACATAGTAAATATTTACAATATAATGCGTCACCATTGCCTTGCAACAACAACAGCACCACACCACAAACACCATTCACAAAAGTTTATTGACATATTTGTTGTTGCTGTTTTTGTGTCTGTAGCACACATTTTACGCTGCTCAATATAGACACAAACAAAAAACTTGAACCACTGTCAACTTTATATATTTTTGTTTTCACTATTGTGTACCTCCCCCCTGTCCCCACATTCCAATCGCATGTATTAGTAGTAGTAGTAGTAGTAGTCGATTTGGCTTTAGAACTTTATTTTTTCACAATCTTGATATCATCTCTTGCCGGTCAATTGTGCTATGACACATAATACTATAACTGCTATTTCGCGAGATATGGCGGAGAAGAGAGAGAGAATGTTGTGCTGAGAGCGATTTAGTCGTTTGTTGACAGTGGGCTGAATGACTGAAAAATATATACATGAAGAAAATGTTTTTATGGAAAAAATATACTTTAAAAAATTCAATTCTGTAATTATATTCTTCTACTCAGTATTTCATGAGGTCATTCAATTGTATTTGATGTTTTCAGAAAATAGTTGACAGTAGTCCCTACAGTTGTAAGATAATTTTTGTTGTAATGTAATACACACTGATTATTTTTTATTAACTCGGTGTGTCCGGTATCTCGAAGATTGCAACCCGCTTTGTTTGCGTCCACCCATATTGCTCCTGAAGCCTGGACAATGGGCTGGTCCCGCTACTGAAGCCAGACAAGGATGCCAGCAAACGTGAATCATACAGTTCGAGTTTAGTTTTGTCACCAGTATCGAAGACTCTTGAGAACAAGCAGTATCTGCTTAATTGCTTCAGGGTTAAACCATATAGTGGATAAAACTCCATCTTAAATAGTTCTTCAATATGAAGTAGAAAACTTCGGACGAGGTCCTCAATAGGGAAGCGCACCTCTGAATTACTTTTCACGGATTAGAAGACTGTGAAGAGGTATTCTCTAAATTAAAATACATACGAAAAGGTTCTCCGCGATGTCGGTATTCGAGGAAGAGGGGTGAGAAGCAGTTCAGCAGCTGCGGCTCTACAGTGATGCAAATTATTCTGCAAACAATAGGCTGCTGTCTGCATATTGTTTTAATGGCGGGAGACGGATCAAAAGGAACTCCGTCTCCGCGATGGAGTCACTGTCCCGTCCAATGAATCGGCTGCAGTAGATAACCGCTCTCCGGTACATCTTCTAGGCAGCGATCTCCTTGACGTTGACTTGTCTGCCTGTCTCTTGGATATAATAGACTTTTGACGATGTCCTCAACAGAGTAGAAGGCTTCTGATAAAGTTCACGATAGAGTAGACGAATTCTGACGAAGTCCTCTATAACATAGAAAACACTGAAAATGTTTCCTCGAGAATATAAGCCTTCTGAAGAGGTTCCTCTTGATCAAAAGGAACTCCTTCTCCGCGATGGAGTCACTATCCCGTCCGATGAATCGGCTGCAGTAGTTAACCGGTCTCCGGTACATCTTCTTGGCAGCGATCACATTGACGTTGACTTGTCTGCCTGTCTCTTGGATATAATAGACTTTTGACGATGTCCTCAAAAGAGTAGAAGGCTTCTGATAAAGTTCACGATAGAGTAGACGACTGACGAAGTCCTCTATAACATAGAAAACACTGAAAATGTTTCCCAGAGAATATAAGCCTTCTAAAGAGGTCCTCTCTAGAACAGAAAACAACCAATGCGACGACCCATCGCAGCTATAATTCCGAATTCCACCTCTATTTCTACATCTAATATCAAGTTTATTACCATTTAGTACTCTTCATACACATAAGCACTAAATTCCGACATTTCTTTCTTATTTCCATTATACAGATTCAAAAGTGATCAGATTTCCAATTCCACATTTAGTTCCATTCAGTACTTTTCAAACATATAAGTACACATTTTCAATACTACCTTCCCTTTGGTACTTCTTTTTAACACTCCGTCCCACATTCCAAATTTTAGGTTTCCAGCTCTCCCCGTTACACACATCCAAATTGTTCCAAATTTAGTGCATTTTGTACTATTCGTAAACATATATTCGAATTTCCAAAGCTGTCAACAAAAGCTCAAACCTACACTTCAACAGTAATCTAAATTCCAAATCTCTGGATTCCAGCTTTATCCATTCACCCAAATCCATATTGTACAAAATTTAGTTCTTTTCGTACTCATAAGAAGTACGAATTTCCAAAACTACTTCAATCATGTTTTTAAATAGTTAATGTAAGTTAAAATTTAAGAAATCTAGCTTTGGAAAATTATACTTACGTAGACGTCGCCTAAATTCTACACTCCAACAGTCCTTTTAAACATAAATTTCAGAATTCCACCCCTATCCGTTCACATAGATCCTATTTGTACCATATTTAGTACTTTTCGAACTTATAAGTTCGAATTTCCAAAACTACCTAAATCCTGTAATCTGTAACTGTAATTTTAATTCCAAATTTAATTTTTCCATCTTTATCCGTTCACTCAAATCTAAATTGTTCCAAATTTAGTACCATTTTAGTACACATAATTACGAATTTCATTTTTCATTTATTTCATAACTAACAATGTTGTAATATACAAAAAAAAAATTAAAAAAAAAATTATATATAATTATAAAAATTTTAATGCAATTTCCCTACAACATTGGTTCCCCACGAAGTAAAATTAACAAAATAATATTTAAAAAAAAGTACCAACTATTTTATGAGAGCACTACTAAAAGAGCAGAGTCTAACCAATCACATTTGGTTCAGCGCAAATTCAGTATATCTGTTAATAAATATTAATAATATAATATAAAATAAATAAATTTCAAAACTACCATCAAATTTCAGGATCACAGCTAGCACTATCCGTTCACTCAAATCCAAATTGTAGCATATTTTGTACCATTAATCATTTTTCGTGCCGAATGCTAAGAATCAATTCTATTCTCCAAAAGTAATTTAAGTGCCAAATTTCAGGATTTCAGTCAACGATTTTTAAATCCCTTCGCAATATTTGATACATCTACATATTTCAATTTTTTTCGAATTTATTTTTGACTATATACAAACTCATAAATATTTTTTCTTTTGTCCCACTGTACCCCCATAGCATGACACAATAACTTGACTCGCTTTTTAGCCAGTAGAATCTATTTTGTGCTCATTCTCTACTACGTTTTGGGATACCATTGAACATTTTATCGTTAAACGTTGCCTAGCAAACACCACGGAACCAAAAAACACAAAAAGAAAATCTTAGTTTTGTGAATAACACCAGTTACGGGTATTTATTCTATTGTTTTTATTTGGTTCTATTTATATAACCTTAGAAAAAAGAAAACAATCTAAAACTGCAATTTTTTGTTCTATTTTTTTTTTTTTTTTTTTTTGCACAACAACACTTGAAATCAAGTCACATTTTTGTTGTTGATTTATTATTAAGTGATAATAGTAATAACTTTCGTTTTTCGTTACAATTTCAGCCTCAGATATTGAACAGCTGAATAAATTTTCATGTGGTGGTCTAGTGGATGAGACAACAATTGTTTATTTAGTACATCCTTGTCACATTCTATCCGCGCTAGAGGTAAGGCGGTAATCATGTGAATTTTTTTTGTATATAGACACAATTCATTTGCATTGAAATAGTAATTTCATTTTTTTTTCAACTATTAACAGATTTTGGAAGAAAAAACTTTGATTTTATAATGAAACGTAATTTTGGGATAATATGGGAGAAAAGAAAGGTTGAAACTATTGGAGAAATGTTATCAGAAACAGAAACAAATATTTAGAGATTTCGAAATATGATTCAACATGTTGGCAGAATTATATGTAGATATGTGAAGATGTGATTAGCAGTACGTCACAGTTTTGCAGAAGAAAAGAGTGGGAAGAGATTGAAGGATTTAAATCAAGTGCATTTAAAATATTAGTTAGTGGGATATTAGAGTTTGTTACATACCAAAGGACAACCCAACCAAAATTATACATAATGATATACCCTCCATGGTCATTTAAAGTGGGAAACACATACGAGGATTAAGGCCTGGCATGATAAGTTGGCTTTGTATGAAATGTCAATTTAGAAAGACATATCAGAGTCAAAATTGATTTTGAACGCCGTTATATCCTCTATAGTATAGAAGACCTCTTTAGAGGTCCTTTATGGTATAGAAGACCTCTTAAGAGGTCCTATATGGTATAGAGACCTCTTAAGAGGTCCTCTATTGTATAAAAGATCTGTTAAGAGGTCCTCTATTGTATAGAAGACCTCTTAAGAGGTCCTCTATTGTATAGAAGACCTCTTAAGAGGTCCTCTATTGTATAGAATACTTCTTAAGAGGTCCTCTATTATATAGATGACCTCTTAAGAAGTATTCTATTATATAGATGACCTCTTAAGAGGTCCTCTATTGTACAGAAGACCTCTTGAGACGTCCTCTATTGTATAGAAGACCTCTTGAGAGGTCCTTTATAGTATAGAAAAATTCTGAAGAGGTCTTCTATGGTTTAGAAGACCTCCCCTGGGCCCCTATAGTCCATAAAACCTCTGAAGTGGTCCTCTACAGTATAGGAAACCTATGAAGAGGTCCTTTATAGTCTGAAGAGGTCCCCTATAGCATAAAAAACTCTGAAGGGGTCCTTTTTAGTTTACAAGACCTCTGAAATGGTCCTATATAGTCGTTAAAACCTATAAAGAGGCCATCTAAAGCCTAGAAGACCTATGAGAGGTCAGACTCCCCAGGAGGTCATCTATAGAATATCTCTGATGAGGGCCATTATAGCAAAAAAATATCTGAATAGGTATATTTGACCTCTGAAGACATCAGAGGCCCTCTAAATAGATCTACTATAGAAGAGAACACTATTGAAGAAGTTATCTAAAGAATAAAAGACTTCTGAAGAGTTCCCATATAGAATGGAAGAATGCCAAAGATGTCTTATAAAGTCTGCAAAGATGTCCTCCGGAGAGATCCTCTATGTTTTACAAGCTTGCTGAATTGATTTTTTAAAATCTACTTAGTAAATCCTTTAGCTGAATAGCACCAAAAGAGTTTCATTAGTTATTACTTAATACATTTTTTTCATTTTTTAGTAGCTGAATTAACAAAATTGTTTGTTGAATTCGAGTATTAGGAGCTGAATAGGTCAAAAAGTGTTTCCAAATTATAACTAGATACAATTTTATTTGTGAAACATTGCTAAATGAATTTTATAGTAGCTGAATTTACAAAATTGTTAGCTGAATTCGAGTATTAGGAGCTGAATAGCCCCAAACTGATTCCTAATGTTATTGTTAGGTGAAATTTTATTTCTAAAACCTAGCTAAATTAATTTTTTAATAGCTGAATTGACAAAATTGTTAGCTGAATTTATATTTTACTTGCTGAAAATCTCAAAACGTGTCTAAAAATGTATTATTATATGAAATTTTGTTTTTAAAAACTTTCTGAACCTTGTTAAATTATTTTTTAGTAGCCAATTTGACAACATTGTTGCTGAATTCATATATTATTAGCTGAATAACCGCAAACTGATTCCCAATGTTATTATTAGGTGAAATTTTATTTTTAAAACCTTGATTAATTGTTGTTTTAGTTGCTGAATTGACAAAATTGTTAGCTGAATTCATATTTTGGTTGCTGAATGGCTCCAATTGTATCTACAAAGTTATTATTCAATAAAATTTTGTTTTTAAAAGCTTTCTGAATTGATTTTTTGAAGCTAAATTCACAAATTCGTTAGCTGAAATCGATTATTTGTTGCTGAATAGATCTAAACAATTCTCAGAATATAATATTTTATTTTAAAAACATTGCTGAATTGATTTTTAGTAGGTGAATATAAAATTTTAGCTGAATTGGAGTAAAAGTCTTATGGCGGTATCCTCTATAGCATAGAGACCTCTGAAAATATTTTCTTGAAAATAGAAGACTTGTGAAAATGTCCACTCTAGGAGAAATGTCCTTCGAAGTGACGCTTTTTCAAATATAAGACCTACGAAGATGTTCTCTAAAGTGTAGAATGTCTGTTAAAAGGTTTTCTTTGGTGTAAGAGTCCTTTAAAGAGGTCCTCTTTAGTATGGAAGACCTTTAAAAAGGTCATCTTTAGTATGGAAGACCTCTGAAGAGGTTTTCTATAGAATAGCAAACCTTCATAGGTATAGGATTCCTCGTAGGATGTCTTACATTTTTAATTCAATTATTTTCCTCCTATTAAAATAACTTTTCCATATTTCCATCCCGTTTCAGATTTTAGGTTTTCGCGTCGTTGCCTCCTCATCGACAGCCGTTAAGCAGGATTACAATGAGTATATGTGGACCATGCGTAAAGAGTTTGCTGAACCAGAACCATTAGAAACCGAATCTGTTGTAAGAGAAAATCTATCAAATATTGGCAGAGAAGCGGCCAGTTTAGGCAATTATCATAAAGTGCATTCGCCCGAATAAATCGTTTGATCGTTCGTTCAGAATTTCTTCGTTTCAACTGTGTTAGTAGAAAACAAAAAAAATCAATATTTGAAGAATTCCCCGCCTTTTCCTAACCCCCATTTATTAACAAATCAAACTATTAGACTACAAAGCCAAGTTTTTTTTAAGTAAACAGAAAAAAGAAAAAACAAACAACAACTACAAATCTCTTGAGAAATTTACACTTCGGTACGAAAAGAAAAACAGAAACGAATTAGAAAAACACGGCTTTAAGGCTCGTATAAGAAAGAGACAAAAAAGAAAAACACAAAACTTTAGAACTAAACTTGAAATGGAATCTGATCCAACAATTAACACACCTACAAATCCTTTACCAGAATCTGCATCATCCAATTCGGTCTCAAATCAATGTGTTGTACCCCCTCCGGTTGTTGCGGCTCCACCCCAACCGGCCAGTGTTGTTACCATACCCGTACCCGTGGTTAATAACGAAGGCACCTATGCTTATGTAACTGTCAAAGGTTCACTGCATGATCGTTCGTGTCAAGTATTTGGTCTTAACGATACTGAATTACAGGCTCTGTCGAAACGTTTTGAGAATGGCATTAAACCCGTGGTCAATGGTGTTATGATTGCTTGCCCACCCATGATTATGATGAACACCTTGGCCCAGCTAAGCTATAAAGTTGTGTGCAGTTCGGGTGAAGCTGAAATTTGCTGGACCATGCAACGTGAAATTTAAACAAAAAACATAAATTCCACAACTACTACTTATTCATTCAACTGAACAACATTCTATTTTCATTTTCTCCTAAGAAAAAACAAACGAACATAACCTAAAAAATAAAACATAACCTAAAAAAACATTTTTTCCATAATACTTAAAAAAGTATAAACAAATAAGAATATTTCTTTCAACTCAAAAAAAAAAATATTAAAATTAATTAAAATGGATCGACACAAGGCTGATTGCTGCAAGTGTCACAAACAAGTCCAACCTGCTCAGCAGACTATCACGGATATGGAATTTGATCGCGGCATCTGGAATGCAGGTGGGTGTCGGATTTTTCCAAAATATTTTTTATATTTCCTAAAGTTTCTTATTTTTGTTGTTGTTGTAGTAATTTATAACGAAGTCGATCGGGTGCGTAGTTTTGTCCAAAAGGGTAAAACCATGGATCTGGATAATTGTGAATATACAGCTTTACATTATGCGGCGCGTAATGGCAACGAAGAAATTTGTAAATTACTTATTAATGAGGGCAAGGCGGATGTGAATGCTATTACCAAGGGTGGCGTTACGCCATTACATCGTGCAGCTATGATGGGTAAGTAAACGAAATACTACATATAAGACCTCTATCAAAGACCTCTTCATCAAAGTCCTCTTTAGAATACTTCCGAAGAGGTTCTCTATTTTCTGGAAGACCTCCGAATAGATCCTCTATAGTAATTTTTTGGAAATGACATTTTCTGAAGAGGTCCACTGTGGTCCACAATACTTCCGAAGAGGTCCTTTGTAATAAAACATTTTTTCTCAAAAGTGCCTCCATAAAGTAGAAGACTTCAGAGTAGGTCCTCTGTATTAAAATAGACCTCTGAAGAGGTTCACTATAGCCTAAAATGCCTCTGCAGAGGTTCTTCATTGTATAGAAGACCTCTGATGAGGTCCACTATAGCCTAGAAGACCTCTGAAGAGGTCCTTCATAATATAGAAGACCTCCGAAGAGGTCATTCATAGTATAGAAAACAACTGAAGAGGTCCTCTGAAGCCTAGAAGATCTCTTCAGAGGACATCTATAGCCTAGAAGACATCTGAAGATGTTCTCTATTTTCTGGAAGAATTCCGAATAGATCCTCTGTATTAAAATAGACCTCTGAAGAGGTCTACTACAGCCTTGAAGACCTATGAAGAGGTTCATCATAGTATAGAAAACCTCCGAATAGGTCATCTGTAGTAAAATAGAACACTGAACCCGTCATTCATAGTATAGAAGATCACCGTAGTGGTCCTCCATAGCCTACAAGAACTCTGAAGTGGTCATCTATAGCCTAGAAGACCTCTGAAGTGGTCCTCTATAGCCTAGAAGACCTGTGAAGGGGTCCTCTATAGCCTAGAAGACCTCTTAAGAGGTCATCTATAGCCTAGAAAAGGTCCCCTATAGCCTAGAAGACCTCAGAAAAAGTCCCCTATAGCCTAGAAGACCTCTGAAATGTTCTAGATGGCCTAGAAGACCTCTGAAGAGGTCCTCTATAGCCTAAAACCTTTGAAAAATATCGTCTACAGTATAGAAGACCTCGGAAGAGGTCCTCTGTCGAATAGAACACCCCTGAAGAGGTTATCTATCGAATAGAAGATATTTGAAGAATATCGTCTACAGTATAGAAGACCTCGGAAGAGGTCCTCTGTCGAATAGAACACCCCTGAAGAGGTTCTCTATCGAATAGAAGATATTTGAAGAGGTTCTTTATAGCCTAGAAGACCTCTGAAGAGGTCCTCTATAGTCCCCTTTAATCTAGAAGACCTTTGAAGAGGTCATCTTTAGCTTATATCACCTCTGAAGAGGTTGTTTATAGCCTTGGAAAATGTTTTATTTAGTCTATAAGACCTCTAAATAGGTCTTCTTTATTTTAGAAGACCTCTGAAAAGGTCTTCTATAAAATAGAAGTCATTTGAAGAGGTCCTCTATAAAATATAAGTCATCTGAAGAGGTCCATAGCATAGAGAATCTCTGAAAATGTTCTCTATAGTCTAGAAGAATTCTGAATGGGTCTTCTATAGTCTAGAAGACCTCTGAAGAGCCCTCTATAGTATAGAAGACCCTCTATAGTGTAGAAACCCTTCTGAAAATGTTCTCTATAGTCTAAGAGACCTCAGAATAGGTCCTCTATAGTATAGAAAACCTTCTGAAAATGTTCTCTATAGTCTAAGAGACCTCAGAATAGGTCCTCTATAGTATAGAAGAACTCTGAAAATGTTCTCTATAGCCTAGAAGACCTCTGAAAATGTTGTCTATAGTATAAAACACCTCTGTAGAAGTCCTCCATAGTATAGAAAATCTCTATAGTCTATGTTATAGAAGACCTCCGAATAAGTTCTCTCTAAATTATAAGTCCTATGACGAAATTGTTTTTTGGGTAAACTCTTTTATAGATGTCCTCTATACCTCTACAGCTACTTTTAAAAAATTAAAAATTATTTTGTTTTTTTCATTTTTTTAAATTAATTTTTATCACCCCTCTCTTCTCTGTTTTCTTTTTCAGGTCATCTTCACATAGTCAAACTATTAGTGGATGCCCATGCCAATGTTGATATACAAGATGATGATGGTCAAACGGCACTGCATCGTTCTGCAATTGGTGGCCACATGGAAGTTAGTAAATTTCTTCTAGAGAAAAATTCCAAACTAAAAGATATACCCGATAATAAGGATAAGATACCATTTGAATATTTAGCAAAAAATGCAAATGATGATTTCAAATTACTGCTTAAATCCTAAACATAAAAACATCCCATAAATGTGGATTTAAAAATTTACTATATACATACACACACATAAAAAATATATATCTATTTATCTCTGTATACATTTTTTATTAATAACCATAATCGTGCATATAAAAAATATTTTGTCTCTAATTTTTTTCGATTAATTTTAATTAAGTGCATTTCAACATAAAAACAACAACAACAATTTATATATTTCAAGATTCAAAACTAACCAATAAAAGTATTTTTAAAAGAAAATTAAAAAAAAAATACATAAATGTTTAGCATAAAGTTATTTAATGAATAAATAAGAAATACCATACCATAAATATTAACTTTTATTACAATGTTCGGGAGGTTTTAAGGTCCCTGAAGGCGGGTCCTTAAAGAAGTTTTTTTAATCTTTTTAAGATTTTTTTTAAGGTCCCCATATGAAGGCGTGGATTTTTTTAAATTATTTTTTAAGGTCCCCATATGAAGGCGTGGATTTTTTTAAATTATTTTTTAAGGTCCCCATATGAAGGCGTGGATTTTTTAAATTATTTTTTAAGGTCTCCATATGATGGCGTGGATTTTTTTAAATTATTTTTTAAGGTCCCCATATGAAGGGCGTGGATTTTTCTTAATTATTTTTTTAAGGCCCCCATATGAAGGCGTAAATTTTTAAAATTATTTTTTTAAGGTCCCCATATGAAGGCGTAAATTTTTAAAAATTATTTTTTTAAGGTCCTCATAAAGACGTGGATTTTTTTTAAATTATTATTTTAAGGTCCTCATATAAAGGCGTGGATTTTTCTAAATTTTTTTAAGGCCTTTTTAAAAATAGTTTGTAAGTCACCTATAGGCGTGTATTTTTTAAAAATATTTTTTCCAGATCCAAATATAGGTATGGATTTTTTTAAAATACTTGTTTTAATTTTTAATTTTCTATTTTTGTCTACGACACGTTATGACTAACTATTGCCATTAATAATAAATAATGGAACGCTTTTATTTGAGGTTAGGCATTGAAGTGTGCCAGCTGTCAAATTTACTTTAGCAAAAAAAGTCGTGTAATTGACAAGGTTTGGAAGATACGATATCTTTGAAGGAAAAAATCTTAAAAATTTAATAAATTATTTCTTAAAGTTTAATAAAAATGGGTCTCTTTGGTGGTCGCAACCTATCGCTGGTGTTTTGCCTATGCCTAGCACTGATTTTCATTAGCGGCATTGTCGATGCTGAATCGGAGAGTAAAAAAGAAATTCCAGCAACAAAATTTGGTCAAAGTCAATCAGCAACAATGACATTTTTATACTGGTATGTGGTTAAGACACTTCCAACCCCCCGTTTTGCACCCCTCATATCTTTTTTTTTTTAAGAAGTTGACGATAATATTTCAAATCTTTTCTCTTTCTTTTTGTTGCTAACAGTTATAGCTGTGGTTATCGCAAAGCCTTTGAAGACTATGTCAATATTTTGGCCGATAAATATCCACAAATTACCGTGACCGGTGGCAATTATGATCCACCCGGCATGAATATGTATTTCTCCAAATTGATATTTGCCGTGAAGATTTTGCTCATTGTGGTAATTGTTTCCTCCTTCGATATCTTTGGTTCATTTGGCCAACCAACACCAAGCTGGTGGCGTCATCTGTTGGAGAATAAATTATATGCCTGTATGATGATATTCTTTGTGGGCAATATGCTGGAGGGACAGGTGTGTATTTGGCAACATGATTATCATTTAAATAAATTATAAATTCTCGTCTTATCTGCGGCACAAATGATAACCACGTCACACACGTATGTTAATGCTTTATTTTTATTATCTCTCTTTTCCAGTTGGTATCATCGGGTGCCTTTGAAATTTCCCTTAACGATGTACCGGTGTGGTCGAAATTGCAAACGGGTCGCATACCCGCACCCCAGGAACTATTCCAAATTATCGATAATCAACTGCAGTTCGGTGATAAATTCCAAGAGAATCCAGACTTTGTTAAATAATTATTAGCGGACACCTTCAGCTCCTGACGTTGTGAACAAATCATATATATGTATTTTTTAAGTTAATAGATATGCAATTTGTATTTACCCACCACACACACACACCCATATAGGTTTATTTTTAAGTGTTCATTGTAAGTCTTTTATGGGTCTGTAATAACGTTATGGAGTTTGTCATGGGGTTATTTTTTACCATTTAGTTTTTCTTTCCTTTATGGCAATGTTCCTTTTTTTAAAGTTTACCTTTCCATTTTTTAGTTTCACTCTAGTTTGTTTTAATAATGGTAATAATTCAATTCAATCATATATAAATAACTTTTTGTAAATTAATAATAGTTAACAGAAAAAAGTGTAAACGTCTACAAAAGTTCTGTTCTGGTGTGAACAGCGAATAGAATCGTTTGACATTGACAAAAAAGGGGTTACTTTATTTTTCGATTTTGCGGGATTTGAAAATAAAAAGAAATTCTTTGAAAAAATTATTCTTTACAAAATCCATGCCTGCTTTAGTCTCTTCTAAAAATATTCTTTAAAAAATCCATGACTGCTTTAGTCTCTTCTAAAAATATTCTTTAAAAAATCCATGCCTGCTTTAGTCTCTTCTAAAAATATTCTTTAAAAAATCCACGCCTTGTTTGGAGGATTGAAAAAATATTCTTTTAAAAATCCACGCCTTGTTTGGAGGATTGAAAAAATATTCTTTTAAAAATCCACGCCTTGTTTGGAGGATTGAAAAAATATTCTTTTAAAAATCCACGCCTTGTTTGGAGGATCTTGAAAAAATATTCTTTTAAAAATCCACGCCTTGTTTGGAGGATTGAAAAAATATTCTTTTAAAAATCCACGCCTTGTTTGGAGGATTGAAAAAATATTCTTTTAAAAATCCACGCCTTGTTTGGAGGATTGAAAAAATATTCTTTTAAAAATCCACGCCTTGTTTGGAGGATTGAAAAAGTATTCTTTAAAAAATCCACGCCTTGTTTGGAGGCTCTTGAAAAAATATTCTTTAAAAAATCCACGCCTTGGTTAGGCTCTTGAAAAAATATTCTTTAAAAAATCCGCCTCTTGTTTGGTGGCTTGAAAAAATATTCTTTAAAAAATCTACGCCTTGTTTGGAGGCTTGAAAAAAGATCCTTTAAAAAATCCACGCCTTGGCTCTTGAAAAAAGATCCTTTAAAAAATCCACGCCTTGGCTCTTGAAAAAAGATCCTTTAAAAAATCCACGCCTTTGATATGCCTTGAAAAAAGATCCTTTAAAAAATCCACGCCTTTGATATGCCTTGAAAAAATATTCTTTAAGAAATCCACGCCTTTGATAAACCTTGAAAAAATATCCTTTAGAAACTCCACGCCTTGTTTAAGACTTAAAAAATATTCTTTAAAAAGTCCACGCCTTGTTTAAGGCTTAAAAAATATCCTTTAGAAACTCCACGCCTTGTTTAAGACTTAAAAAATCCACGCCTTATTTAAGTCTTAAAAAATATTCTTTAAAAAATCCACGCCTTTTTTAAGGCTTAAAAAACATTCTTTAAAAAATCCACGCCTTGTTTAAGGCCTAAAAAATATTCTTTAAAAAATCCACGCCTTGTTTAAGGTTTACAAAAATATTATTTAAAAAATCCACGCCTTGGATAGGCCTTGAAAAAATATACATATTTTTGCAAAAATGTTTAATTTTTTAGAAAATAATTATTTTTGTTTATTGATAAATAATATTCTCAATGTTGTGTTCGGGTTATTTCTTGTTTTTTCTTCATTTTAATGCTTTTAGGATTATTTAACATGAAAAAAATATTATATAGCAAACAAAGAGAAAGAAAGAATTATGAGCAAGTCATCATGACTTGTAATGTGTTGAGAGTTATACATATAAATGCTATGCGACGGCCTTTCAAAGGATTCATTTGAAAACGATGGTATCCAACATAGCACCCAGACACTGGACAATATTATTTTGCATAACCTTATCCACTTTCTCTTCCAAATGGCGTTTGGGATCTTGTTTGCCAACGTTTTTAATGGCCAACTGTTCGGGTGTCATTTTTTCTTCATCTTCCAGAGACTAAAAAAACAAAGAAAATATATTATAAATAGGAAAATTGGGAAAATTAAATTGTTTTCTCACCTTGTTATAATTTTTGGCTAATTCTAACATTTCTTGTACTGTACTCTCATTAATCGAACTATGTTCATTGTAATCCTCCAGAGTTAAACCATCCTTCCAGGATTTCTTGTGTAAGTTGAGTAACATTTTCTGTTCCAATTCATTTTTACGATAATTAATGCTGATCGAATAATAATGACGATTGAGGCCATGTATCAGTGCTTGTACGGAGGGTTTTTGTAAATGGCCCAAATTTGAGGTGGTCTGTCTGGGCTCCTGGCCCAAAACCAACATATTGGGATTAATGAGACGGAAGGCATCGATGACAACTTTACCCTTAACCGATTGAATGGGATCAACGACAACAGCTACAGCCCTCTCGGACAGAGCTTCAAATGACTGTTGTGTATTGATATCGACACCCGACAACCAACAACCAAAACCAGGATGTGAATGATACCAACCGACAACCATTTCTGGGCGACCAGTCTGCTTTAACATATCCAACATTTTCGCTTGGAACACAGGATCAACAGCTTCGACCGAAACACCGGTACCCGTTTGTGGCATAGCGAATACATCGATTACCTGCACTGTATAATCATCGACAAATTCACCCAACATCAGACCCATAACTTCCATAGGGACACCAGCACGACCATGCTTTAACATTTTCAACAAGGCCAGCGAGGAAATGTAGACCTGTTCGGCAGTATCGACAACTGGAGCATCAGTTGGTGGAGCCGCTTGCGGCATAGCACCTCCCAAACGTAATAAACGATCCATGTTTCTGTGGGAAATATATAGAGGATTTTGTTAAATCTGTATTTAAAAGGGATTTGATTGTTGTTGGCTTACCTATTTGTTGTTATTTATTACAAATACGAACTAAAATTCTATAAAATATTTTATATTTTCCTTTGTATCCAGAAACACAACACAGCAGAAATCAACTTTTTGCAAATGTGCAAGTAATGAACGCGACAGATGACAGTTGTTTGTTTCTGTCATCATTGCCTTTACAAACAGTGTTGTATTTTGAACGGCGTTCGTTGTGAGCACACTACATTAAAGCGTCACAGCGGTTATCGATGAAGGGTATATGATTATCGATATTTATTTAAAATTTAATTTAAAAATCCCAGTGTGGATTATTTAAAGAAAATTTTTCAAGAATTTTTAAAGAATATTTTTTAAGCATAACTAAGGCTTTAATTTTTTTAGATAATATTTTTCAAGGCGCAGATTTTTTAAATAATATTTTTTTCATGCCTTCAACGAGGCTTGGATTTTTTAAAGAATATTTTTTCAAGCTTCCAAACAAGGCATGGATGTTTTTAAGAAGGGTCCAGGTTTTCAAGGGTCCAACAAGGGGTACATTTTTTAAAGAATATTTATTTCATGCCTTAAACAAGGCGTGGATTTTTTAATGAAGATTTTTTCAAGCCTTAAACAAGGCTTGGATTTTTTAAAAAAATTGTTTAAGCCTTAAACTAGACCTGGATTTTTTAAAAAAATTGTTTAAGCCTTAAACAAGACCTGGATTTTTTAAAGAATAATTTTTAGAGGTCTGAAAAATTAGTGGATCTTTAAAGAATAATTTTTTAGAGGACTAAACAAGGCGAAGATCTTTAAAGAATATTTTTTAGAGGTCTAAACAAGGCGTGGATCTTTAATGAATATTTTTTGTAGAGGTCTAAACAAGGCGTGGATCTTTAAAGAATATTTTGTTAGAGGTCTAAACAAGGCGCGGATCTTTAATGAATATTTTTTGTAGAGGTCTAAACAAGGCGTGGATCTTTAAAGATTAATTTTTTAGAGGTCTAAACAAGGCGTGGATCTTTAAAGATTAATTTTTTAGAGGTCTAAACAAGGCGTGGATCTTTAAAGATTAATTTTTTAGAGGTCTAAACAAGGCGTAGAATAAGAATATTTGTTAAAAGATTTTTAAAGAATATGTTTAGAGGATTTGTAAAGAATATTTTTAGAGGATATTTTTTACAGAATCCAACCAAGGCTTGGTTTTTTTAAAAATATGCCACTTGTTAACCACCTACCAATCCAAAAATTCGCATTTTTTCTTTCTATACAATTTGAAAATCCTACCTGGCGCCCGATTGGTACTACATCGAAATAATTTCATTGTGGGTATTTTCTGTTCATGTAATGATTCACTGGTGTCATGAGGAGGCACACTGCTGAAATTCTTAAAGCGGCATTTTGACAAGCCTAAATATTTCTCCATTGCAGAGCACACTAACTTATATTTATTTTCGTCCCAAAAAATTAGAATTGAGTCGATCAGGAACGAATTAGTTTAAAAGGAAATATTCCGCAAAAAGAACGATCGGTCCGGTTCATGGTTTACCGTTTATTTATAGAAGTGTTCTCGGAACGATCGTTACTAGGTCCGGTTCTTTCGTTTATCCTTTGTTTAGAGACATGTTCTCGTCGTCATGGAACAGTGTGACGTGATTGACAGCATCAAAGGCTTTTCTATATGTCAAACGCTATCTAAAACGGTGATTGGTGCCGCCTTTTCTAGTATAGTCATCGATTAAAATGTGTGTAGATGCCATGCTCATAATCAGATACTGGATTGATTACTCCTGGGCTGGCGAGTAGTAATGATTCACTTCTGGGGACATCTTTGCTTGATCACTTACGACTCATGCTGCGGAAATGAGCAAATGGTTATTGACAGTTTCACAACTTTGATAAGCGCCGTCTTAGAATTGGGATCATCAAGCCATTTCAGCACCAAAGAAGAGTGTTGGGCGCCATTTTCACCTGACAATTAAAAATGTACTCATTTTTACCTCTTCCTATATCATGAATGCCTCGCTTAGCACGTGTAGTTTTTCAGGTCTGATCAGTACTACAGATATTCAGATTCCCATGTCACAAATATCCTTTTGCAGGGTTCCAGAGTGACTTTACATACACATGTACATATATCTTTCTTCTCAGAAAGGTTAGTTCAAAGTACTTAAAACTGTGTTGTTTTTTTTTTTGCATTCAAATACCATTCCTTTATCTAATTTAAAAGTTCAAACAAAAACTTATTCCCGCATTTCGTGAATCGACCAAACAAACTTCTCGAAAATTGATTTCAACTTTTGTTTTTGGCATTTTACTTTACTACGAAGCGAAAAGTTCAGTCATTTCTTCATTCATTTATGCATCTATCTTTCTAGCCATTCATGCACGCCATATTTCGCGATTTAAACTCCCCAAAAAAAAAGACAAACTACTAACTTCAAATGTTAAAGTTTTCAAACTGTTTTTTGAAGTTGGCAACAGACCCTCACACACTCATACACAAACTAAAATAGGAGGAGTTGTACAACAACACCGCCATAACAACAATGTAATCACCCAAAATATACAATTCAACAGCAACTTCATTGACTCGAACAACGGACCTGAATGCCCCCTCACAAAAGCGAGTGCAACAATGAATGGACTTGTGGTTGACTAGTGACGACGGCGACTGATGACTGGTGGTGGCGGTTAAGCGTAACGTTTTTGTGTCTTTCGAAAAATATTAACCAGCAAATGGAGTTAAGAATTACGGTGTACGAATGTTGAGCTTTGGTTTGGGTGTTTGGATATTGCAGTGAAGGGAAATTGTTTGAGATTGAAAAAATGATATTCTAAACGAAAATTATAATTGGTTAACAATAGCAGAACAATTTAATTCTGGAAACTGATTACTTGGGCGTATCTAAGGGGGCTGCTTGGAGGTTTTGAACTGATCTAAAATGACTAGGGTGAAATATATTTTTAGCCAGGACCGCTTATACGTATGGACGTCACTCGTGTGCGTAATTTCGATACAAATTCCAGCTGTGTTCGTTTCAGAACTTTAAAAAGTTTGAGGGCAGGGTGCCCGATCCGGGATCTGAGTTTAAGGACCGCAGGGAAAGACCCAACCCTCCGAGACAATTATATGGTTATATGGGACACAAAGGCGAAAACTGGCCAGGGTGAACCGGAGGAACAAGCGAGAACAGAAAACTGATGATCAGAAGTATCAACTGAGTGCGGCGAATGAATAATATGAATAAATAATAATATGAAAAAAACGAGCGCTGGATTGGAAACTTGAAACCTGAAGATCGGGAATCACAAAATGACTAACCGAAGAAGGAAAATGGTAACAACAATTGGTAAGGAGCCGCTATCCTATACAAAGTTTGGAGGCCGTAGGAGGCCCTATAGAAAGGAGCTGTGATCGACGAGAATTGGAAACTGGGAATCTTCCTTGAAGATCGGGAATCACAAAAGTACCAACAGGACTTTACGAAGAAAGAAGATGGTAGCAACAATTGTTAAGATTCGGGAAACAAAAAAGGGAGATCCATTGGAAATTGATGGATGCGGTGAATAATACGATAATGGATAACCTGCTTCCTCATAGACTAATTCTTATTCTCACATTTCAGCCTGCATTTACACAAGATTGAATGCGATTGAATCAACAGGTGTAGATCGCTTGAAGGATGACAGAGAAAGCGTTGAAACCCTTTCTTTGCACTGCTCAGTTTTTGCACGCAATAACCAATTGTTGCTACCATCTTCCTTCTTCGTAAAGTTGGTCCTTTTGTGATTTCTGATCTTCAGGGAAGTTTATAAAGATCTTCGCCGCTTCTGAGGTAGTGGAGGGAATGTTAGGCTTATGCTTCGAACATTAGTTTGTTGTTCGCTGTTGTTCCTCAGGATCTCACAGGCCAGTTTTCGCCTTTGTACCCCAGATAAATGATTCGTTCTTCGCTCCTCCGGCATTCGAAGACTATTGTGTTAGCCTTATCCTCATGTCCAGACTCCAAAATTGAGTCCTGATTTCTTCTTATTGTGTGGTTGGCGATATCCTTGCTCACTGCATCGGAGGGTTGGGTCTTCCCCAGTGGTCCTTAAACTCAGAACCCGGGCCGGACACCCTGCCCTCAAACATGTTAAAGTTCTAGAATGAAGACAGCTAGAAATGGTAACGAAATTACATGCACGAGTGGCGCTCAAATTTATATATTTTAAAACATGAATTAAAAAAAGATCCTACCCATATTCACCTTGAGGATATACAGGGTGAGATGAAAAAACTGCAACCAACTTCAGACAGCTATCATTTCTAAGCCACTCGTCCGAAAACTGTTAAAATTTTTCCAGTGACCGCTCATTATATTGTTTACAAGCGTACAAAAGCATTTTGGCAAGAATGTTCCAGAAAAAAATTATTCATGATGGAACAGAAAGTAAATAGACTGAAAAGAGCTAAAGAGCATGGCCGAAAGTGGTGAACTGCCGAATTTGCTTTTCATCGATGACAAAACATTCGTTGTCCAGCAGTTTGTAAACGAACAAAATTATCGTGTTTACTTGCAAAAGAGGTCAGCTGAAAATGTGAACCTTCAGTTGGCTACCAAAACTCAAGCGCCGGCCATGGTGATGGTGTGGGTCGCCATCGTTCGAAGGGTCGCCGTCGTTCGAAGATGAATAATACCGGTCCCCTCCTTCCGGTACCTCTCCCACAAGAATGGTCAAAATGTTGGGGTTTTTTCATAATACCAAGTGAACGGACTATCCGATTTGAACTAACCTTTAAACAACCTATTTTCTTTACCAAACCTATAACAAGTCCGAAGATGGGATCCATTGGTCTACTCCTTCTGGTCTACCTCCCTCACAAAGGGTCAATATTTTCAATATATTTGTATCCAATATTAGGCGAATGGAATGACCGATTTGATCCTAATTGGGCACATCGTAAAATTTCTTTCAAACTCAAACTTTTAAA